CCCCCACCTTTGCAGACTCCCCCTTTGGCAAAGACCCCTTTGCCTGCAAGAATCTCCTTCCAAACCAGCCTGGGTTTTAACTTTAATCCAAGTTTAACGCTGGACGTTGCTCCGGCCCCAAGTGATTTGCCCCGGGACAGCCGGATCCCAGCCGTGCTCTGCAGACACCCGCGGGACCCTGGGCTGCAGCTCGATCCTCAGGTGCCCAGGAGCAGCAAGTCCGTGGGTTGTCCCGGCCGTGGTGGGGTCTGCCTGGTTTTTGCGTGTTTTTTTAGACGTCTGAAAGAGAAAAAAAGGGGCTGGTTCAGCTTTGCTTGTGCAGGTTGTGTGCTGGAGCTTGCACACGGGCTGTTTCGGGCTTCAGCATCCCTTCCTGAGAATCGTAGAGTCACAGAATCATTAAGGTTGGAAAAGACCTCGAAGATCATCGAGTCCAACCGTCAACCCCACACCCCCATGCCCACTAAACCATGTCCCTCAGCGCCTCATCTACCCGTCTTTTAAATACCTCCAGGGATGGTGACTCCACCACTTCCCTGGGCAGCCTGTTCCAATGTTTAACCACTCTTTCAGTAAAGAAATTTTTCCTCATGTCCAAAGGAAGAGGGCAGCTGGGGTAAGACCCTCCAAAGGGTCTTTTGGGAGCGGGACGGGATGGGATTCAGGATTTGTGTTGCAACTCAGCCTGTGCTGCGACCCTACAGGGATGGTTATCTGCCAAATCCGCAGGGAGAACGGGCTGCTTCCCATCCTGGAAATAGCAGCGTGGGGGCTCGGAGGGGAAATTATCCTGGTTATTGTTCCCTCTGCAGCTGCCTGCTAACAGGGCACCCGTCATTTCTTTCTTTCTTTTCTATTGCCAGGTCCGTGCTGAAGCCCAGCACCTTGCCGGACATCCAGGTTACGGATGCGGAGGCCACGCCAAACGCGGAGGCTCCCGGGAGCGGCGCAGGTGAGCCGGGCTCAGATCCGGTTTGGATTTGGGCGGGCGGTTGGGAGCAGCTGCCTTATGCTCCAGTTTGATTGGAGAAAAATAGAAGCCAGGCATTTTTTTCTCTAGAAATCGTTGTTTCCATCTTGCTCCAGGTTACTTTAAGCCATTTCCAAAGCGCCTTTATTTAATTTATTTGATTGCAGCAAGAAAATCTTAGCCCCGGTGGCCTGAAACCCCTCCTAAGGGCTTTTGCTCCGGGAAGGGGCCACGGTGGGATGTGGGGAAGAGGAGCTTGGAGAGAAATAGGGGGATGGAGCAAAGAGCCTCGTGGGATCGTAGGGAAAAGGATGTCGGCGCTTCCCCTTCCCAGCGGCTCCGCTTTTAGGGAAGAAGAATAGGCGCCGTTGGGAAGTGCCGTTACCATGGGGAAGTCAACATTGCTGCAAAGTTCTTTTCCCCTCCCTGGTTTTTCCTCTGTAGAGAGGGAGAAGAGCTCGTCCGCCTCGGCTCTTCGTTAACCCCTTGTTTTTAGCACGAGGCAGCGATGAACGGGACGCAAGCTGTCCCACCGGCAATTCCCACTGGAAAAACCGGCTTTATGCATTTTTCTCATCCGACCGGGGCATTTTGCAGGTGTTCCTGGCTTTTTTTTTTTTCGGAGGGGGGGTGGTGTTTTTATGGAAATACACCCTTGAAGCAGAGAAGAACCAGCTAATCCTTTCGGCTTTGGGATGCTCATCCACTTCCCGGCTCGGGGAGGAGCTGAGCACTTGCAAAACTCATTGATCCATGAAACCCTTCGCCTCATCCTTGATCCTCCAGCTTTTCTCCTTATTCTTTTTGATCTCCCCACGCATGACACTCTCCCCCCCCCCCCTTAATTAAACCTTGCCCGGGTGATATCCGCAACGCATCGCACCATAGAAATAACCCAGCAGCTATTTCAGCCAGCCATATGATGTTAATCCTCTGCCAGCGCATAAGAAAGAAGTCTTTTATTATATTTTTCTCCAAAAGCCTGTAAAAATCAGTGCATAACGTGCGTGCACGGCTCCTCATGAGTGCTTAGTCACCACGGCCCATGGCGTGCATCTGGAGCGGTGCGCACCAGAGATTTTTCTTGCTGCAGACATGCTTTGAATTAAAACATCCAGGCTCGAGCCCGAGAGGTTCATTAAAAATGGATGAAGAGCTAGTTTATAATAATCTGGACCCAGGCCAGTTTTCACGCAGAGATCTGAAGTGCTGGCCTCATTTGCCTGTTCTCATTAAAGGAAAGGAGAAAAAAAAAAAAAATTAAATTATGAAAAAGCGAGTAAAGATGCTCGAGTCCCCGGGAGAAGAGGCTTTATCCAGGTAGCAGCCTGGATTTACGCAGTTAATTCTGAATTAACAGCCTCCTTCAGGAGCTGGGAGAGAGTAAACCAGTAGCTGCCGTGGTTTAACCTGGTGGGTTGAATCTGTCCTGGGAAGTTTGTAGGGCTGTATTTCTGGGATGGGGACTTTTGCATCCATGGGGGGACTCCCAGGAGCTATTCTGCAGCAGGGAGATGCTGGGGTAGGACCCCGGGGGGTTCCCGCTTGCTTCTGGTCCTCAGCCCCATCCTCCCACCGGGTCTTTTCCAGCTGCCAAATCGCAGCCAGAGGAGACGCCGCAGCTGATGCGGACGCGGAGCGACGTGGGCGTACGGCGCCGGGGCAGCGCCCGCACCCCCAGCGAGCAGCGGCGCATCCGCCGTCACCGCGTCTCC